GCAATGTGGAGAGCATTTGGAGGGGCGGCTGAGTGGCTTTATGAATACCCAATTAATTATGTTGGTCACACGCTCTACACTTTTACACTTTTTGCCTTTTCACGGTCGTTACTGACGAACGTAGAGCAAAGAGCAGAAAAACAAACAGAGAAAATACATTTACAAAATCCAGCAAATGAGACAAAGATAAGAGGATGAAGGGGAGATTCAAAGATATCGAAACTTCCATCTCCAGCGTCAGTTCCACTATGAATGGTCTCCTTGGGCTCTTCTTCTCCGCAGCCCAAGGATTTCCAATTCATTTTGTTTGGGTTTCTCCTGTGCATCGATTATACGAATATATATATTGTTTTGTCTATAATTTATTTTCGCTTGAATTGATTAGCATTTTAAGTAGGCCAACCCAAGAGCCAAGAGTATTTTGTTTTGGGGAAACCACAGCCCAAATATGATTCACACTCTGTACTCGATCGTTCGACTGCTGCCCGTCTCCACGAGGAGAGGTTGTTGCCAGAGAGAAGGAGGAAAAAACATGCATGGGAAGGTTGTGCAAACCGGGGAATACCTGAGGTTGCGCCTCCTATTCGGTGCTTCGACTTCGAGTGCGAGTATTTTATGTGGGTGTGTGCTCAATGTAAATTTGCTTAGTTCAAAAGAGACGACGGGTTCATAGCGGTGTGTTGTTCAAGGTAGGTTTTGGTTTAATATTTTGGAAAAATAAATGATTTCACGACTGCTTAGAAGATATTTTCGTATCCATTAAGCATCAATGTAGACATCAAAATTGTATCATTTTAATTCTTAGAAATACCCCATAGCTGATGCTAGCCTCTCTGTAGATTTCATACAGATTTAAATCAATTAAAATGTACCAAGAAAATTTTACCCTATATGGAGGTACTTTCAATACCAACTTAATGGACATTTTATCAGAGAATTTATACACATTACTGCCAAAGAAAACTTACCACAAAAAATGGGAGTTCTCTTGATTTTTTAGGGTATCTTTTGGCGTTTTATCGTTTTATCACATGTCTCCGAATTTCCATAAATTTGTAACGAATGCATATGGAAGTCTGCACCTTCTATGGACATAGAATCACTTGGAAAGCTCTCGCAAAAATAACGCTCCTCCATTCAATCTGTAAATCGCTGCTTTCTGTGATAAACATCTACTGTATGCCTCTGGGGCTCTGCTGCTTGTCTCTCAGGTGTTAGGCTCTTACTCTGTCTTCTGGCGTCACAGCTGTGGGCTCAAAGAGTGGGAGCGAGACAGTGACTGCCAGACAATGGCCAAAAGTCTGAAGAAAGTAAAAATCCAGCTACCGTTGCGGCTCTTATTTCTCTCTCTCTCTCTCTGCACAGCCCTCCCTCAAGCCTCTCTTGGCCCCACTCCTCCAGTCTGCCACTTACTCTCTCCTCTGTCTCTCTGTTCCCACAAACGAAAACGAAACGAAACGATCTGCAACACAAAAGCTAAAGCTAAAGCCAAAGCCAAAGCTGCCTGACAACGACGACGACGACTGCGATTCCATTCCCCACTAAAAAAAAACAGATAGTTGTACCATTGCTAAGCCCCGAGCGGAGACTGACTTCGTCGGTGTTTTGTCTTTTGCTGTTTTTCAGTTTCAATTTCAGTCGAATTCGGGCAGCAACGGCACACGGAAGCAGGAGCCGCAACACCCCACCAAAAAAATATACCAAAATCTTGGCAACAATATTGGAATAATATATTAATAAAATATTAATACAATAAGCAACAAAATAAACTGATGTTTTCGTGTGAAATCCAAACATATTGGAAGTGAAATTCGCGCTTTAAAAATTTCTCAATCGTCGCATGGAAATAAATAAATATTACAAAATTCAATTAAAGCCAATTGGCAGACTCGTCGTAAACCAAACAGCAACCAAAAATTGAGACTCTTTCTGTCTGAAACAATTTCCATAAAAAAAACGAACGCTCCAAGTCGAAATTTTTGAACACTTTCATTTTCGTTTCATTTTCGCTGTGTTTCGTTGGGTTTGTCGTCGCGTCGCGCAGACGTGCGGTGTTTCGTTAAGTGTGTTAAATAATAGTAAACAAAAGCGAAGTGAACGAAAATCATCTGGCAAATGTTGAAAAACTAACAGAAAAACGGCCTAACAAAATACGACGAGTCGATCGGTCGATTGAGATGTTTGGCAAGATGCATTCGAATGCATTTTTCCTGTGTTTAGGTGCGTATTTCCCTTTGAAAGAGCCAACCAAAAACTAACCAATAATTAACCCAAATTCCACTGGATAGCATGTGACTTTTGTAATAATTAATGCAGTGATTTAGATTGTTGTCAAGTTTTGCCAAAAAATCGAAAAACAAAAGACTTAGGCAACAAACGCTGAAGGGGGAATGGGATCTGAATGAAAGCCTGAATGCACTTGCATGATTCGATTTTTTCTGGTTTTCTGTTGTGGCAACTTTCGTTTGCAAGCAATAAAACTTCCGGCCACCACCATGTGACGTCACAGCCAAATGGCATATGCAAATCGAAAGAGACAGGGAGAGAGAGAGAGAGACCAAGGCCAATCACAGCTACCATCTCGCTCTCTCTGTTGCTCTTTCTTGCGTTTGGAGTGTACGTGTTTTTTCTTGGTATTACCGCAACAGCAGGCCTGACCATCGATTATGCAACACTTAACAAAATACTCTTGATGTTGTCAACACTCTCTGGCTGCTCCCCCCTTAGACATTTGCTGCTGCCGGTTCGCCCCCGAAAACTTCCAGGCGACGGGTTTATTTATGGCCTGACCATGAAGTGCACACAATTTTAATGCCACCTCCTCCTCTGCAGCGGTTTTCGGAAGTCATGGCAGGCTGGCAGCTGTTTGTTGCACATTGCCCCTGCCACTGCCACTGCCACTGCCACACGCTTCACAAATGATAGTTTTTCCACCAAATGACCTCTCTGTGGGTGGTGGGGATTGGATTTTCACTTTCATTTGAGTTGGAAAACCGAGGGAAGAAACAGCTGTCTGTTCATTGATTGGCTTAAGTCTTGTGACTTTTGGTGTCTTTTTGTCTGTTTCAGTTGAAGTAAAGATACAAAATACGATTATACTATCAATTATATTTTTAATAATTTATGAACATTAAAAAAAATTAGAAATAATTATTACGGGTGTTAACAATTTTTGAAATAATATCAAATAATTAGCCAGCTTGAAACCCAAACTGGACGGGGAATTTTTCAGGAATTTATCTTTCATTTGGATCTGCTCCAAATAGTAATTTACGCTTGTTAATTTTCAGTTTTATTGATTTCAATGGAAAGTGTGACACCTTTTCCAGGTCACCATCCATCCATTCATTCAAACAACTCCACAAAAGCATTTTGCCAATCAATGAACCCCAAATAAAAGTCAGTATGGGCTCCCGATCTATGCCAAAAGAGTCTCTGTCTGCGTCTGCGCCTTGCACCTTCTTTGGGGCCATTCACTTTTTCTCACTCTCAAATTTCTTGGATCTCTGTTTAAGCCCTGTAATTGGCCAAAATATTTCATTGTGTCTGCTGGAAACCGAAGCAAAGCCAAACCAAGCATTGGCATTGCCATTTTATTCCAAGTGAAAGTGACAAAAAAATAAAAAATAATAAAAGAGCGTTCGTCGTTGTTGTAGTGGCGGGGCGGCACTCATGCACACCTCGAGAAATGTTAATGAGCCGCAAAAACCAGACAAAATAAAGTCCAAAAAGACAACAAATAAATAAAACTTAACCCAAATCGTTGGAAGATTTCAATCAATTAGTTGGTTTTCTTCCTTTGCGTTGCCAGAGCGGTGAAATCTGTTTACGGGGGAGCTGTGGCGACCTTGAGGCAGAGCAGGAACAGCCACTTCCTACTCGTCTGCTCTGCTGATGGGTAGATCCAAAAAGAAAACATGTCGAGTCATTAAGCAAAGTCAGAGTCCAAGTGGAGCCCAACGATCCGCAGAGATTATGTCACGGCAGCCACCAAAAAAATACGACAAAAAATTACTTAAATAAACATTAAACGCTGCCAAAAAGGCAGGGGAGGATTGGTTGTGGATGTAAAGTGGAGTCATAACCAGCGACATACTTTCTCATTTTGGGCGGCAAAGTACTTACAGATACAGATGCAGATACAGATACAGATACTCGCAATGCGTAATGCCAATTTTGACATTATTCAACCAAAGACGAGCGAAGAGTTGGGCTGGCTTGGGGCGGAGGAAGAGACTTTGCATAAGGCATTAGCCATTGTTTGTTTGCTTTTGCAGTGTGTTAGGTCAGTGTTGGATGGCCAGAGCCATGTGGGAATTGAAAGAAAAATGGTTAGTTGGGGTTACTTAAAGAGCGGGCATAATGCTCGTAGTTTTCCTGCTTTTGAGTGGCTTATTTATGATGAAAATTGATGAGTACTCGACGAATCGCTTCGTGGGTATAGTTTGGATGGAAAATTCACTCAAACGTTTTTTTTAAGCAAGCAAAAGAATGACAATTGATTATGAAAAGGGCTATAAAAAGCGCATATCTGACGTCAACTGCTAGTAAATAAATATGAATATAGTTTATGCTCTTGCTATTACCCTGGAAACCTTTTTCTAAGCTTCCCTCTCCCCCCTTTAGTCCTCTTTTCTGGCTTTTTCTTGGCGTACGTCCATGCCCAAGAGTACGACGACGAGGAGCAGCCGCTGCATCTCACAAACGACGGTAAGTCCACACGCCAAGAGCCCCTGAGATTTGTTGTCGCGGACATTCATAACTTTAACCCTTAAGGCAGCGTCTTTCTTTCAGCCCCAACTCCATGACAAGCGACTGGGCCGCCAGCTGCGTGAGGATCTCGGTCAGAGTTTAAGCTCCGCGAGCAGCGGCAGTGGCAGCAGCAGTCAGTCTGCGTCCACGTACGAGGACGATGATCAGGATGAGGACGATGTGGAGGGCTCCAGCGAGTACTACGACAGCGATGAGGAGCAGGGCAGCAGCGACAGCAGTGGCAACGACTCGCTGCCACGATTGCTCTCCCAATCGACATTCAATCGCATATCGGAGACCCTCGGGGCCATCAATCATGTCGGACACATGTTGGTGGACATGACCAGGGGAGGACAGGAAGCGGCGAAGACGGAGAGTGAGGGAAGCGGTGATAAGAGCAGCACAGCCACCACCACAGAAGCGACACCAACAACAGCCACTGGTAACACCACCGCACCGCACCCCGTTCCCTCCGTGACATCCACCCCTCTGGGAAGATCGGAGCCCCTCCCCGGCATCTCTGGCAAGCTGCTGGACAGACCAATTACACTCTCGCCCAATAGTTTGCTGCCAGCGGGTAGGCCAGCGAATCTGAGTGCCATTCAGCAGGTGGCAACCAAGAGGATTGGCGTCGACGCCGCCCCCATGTTCGTGGAGAACAAGGAGCTGAAGCAGAAGAAGAAAAAGAAGAAGAACAAGAACAAGCAGAAGCTGAAGCCGAAGCCCAGCGAGGAGCAGCTGCAGGGCACACAACAGATTCAACAGAAGATCAAAATACCAACGACACCACGCACCACCACGACCAGCCCAGGGACAAGCACGAGCAGCACTAGGATTACCCCAGTGACCCTACGACCTCTCGATCAATTGGCTTTGGCCAGCAATGACGAGGAGGCCGGCACTGGCAAGGATGCGGAGAATTACTGCAAGACTCCAAGTGGCCGTGCGGGACGCTGCGAGGATCTCAGCAGCTGCCCAGCGCTGCTCCTGAATCTGAGCAGCCTGCGCGAGTCCCTGTGCTTCAAGAGTCTCTTTGTGCCCGGCGTGTGCTGTCCTTTGTCTTCGGTTAGCACTTCGGAGAGCTCCGCCCCGCAGAGCACCACTCAGAGGCCGCTCAAACTGACTGCCAAACCCACTCCCAGCAGCACCACAAAACGCACCACCGCGAGGCCAGTGACAGCCAGACCCTCGACACGCCCCACCTCTGGCCTGGTGCTCATACCCCAAAAGAAACCACCCACCACGACGACAACCACAACAACGGAAGTGCCGCTGGAGCCCGAGGGTCTGGATGAGCTTGGCAACAATATTGTGGATCCGGATGAGTGCGGACAGCAGGAGTACTCCACGGGTCGCATTGTCGGTGGAGTCGAGGCACCCAATGGCCAGTGGCCCTGGATGGCGGCCATCTTTCTGCACGGCCCCAAGCGCACAGAGTTCTGGTGCGGTGGCTCCCTGATTGGCACCAAGTACATCCTGACAGCGGCTCATTGCACGCGCGATTCCAGGCAGAAACCGTAGGTTCATTGTGGCAGATTCCTCTAAATTGTTTGCTGATCCAACTATCTATTCCTTTCAGCTTTGCGGCACGACAGTTTACGGTGCGTTTGGGTGACATAGATCTGTCCACAGATGCGGAGCCCTCGGATCCGGTGACATTTGCTGTCAAGGAAGTTAGAACACATGAACGGTAGGTGCCACAGTCCAGTCCTCCCATGAGCTACAGATAGTGGATAAATTGACCAATTTGTTGCAGCTTCTCTCGCATTGGTTTCTACAATGACATTGCCATTCTGGTGCTGGACAAACCCGTGCGAAAGTCCAAATATGTGATACCCGTCTGTCTGCCCAAAGGCATTCGAATGCCGCCAAAGGAGCGCCTGCCGGGCCGCAGGGCCACTGTGGTGGGCTGGGGCACCACCTACTACGGTGGCAAGGAGTCCACCAGCCAGCGGCAGGCAGAACTTCCCATCTGGCGGAATGAGGACTGCGATCGCAGCTACTTCCAGCCCATCAATGAGAATTTCCTGTGTGCTGGCTACTCCGATGGCGGTGTGGATGCGTGTCAGGTGAGGATAACATCTAGAGTATGGATTAGCAGAGATATTTATTGGGGGCTTATCTTTTTAGGGTGACTCTGGTGGTCCTTTGATGATGCGTTACGACTCCCATTGGGTGCAGCTGGGAGTTGTATCCTTTGGCAACAAATGCGGAGAGCCAGGATATCCAGGTACGTGAATATATGCAATTTTCTGCATATTTTCTAATTATTTATCCCCTCTCAGGTGTGTACACACGTGTCACCGAGTACCTCGAATGGATACGAGATCACACGCGTGACTGATCATCCGGATCGGACTGTTCCATTCGTTTAGCCTGTAACTTGTAGCCTAGGTTTAGTTACTTACTAGTCTCTTACTTTGTACTCTTAATGCTTCCTGCCTTGTCCCTGCTCCACTGATGCTCCCTGACCTCTCCCCCTTATTTATTAATACATTTTTCCATTGTTAACTTAATTATTTAATATTTAAACCTTTATGAATAAAGTGTGTCACAGAAATTTGTTATAGATAATCCCATTGAATGTTTTTGAATGCTACACAATTTCCCATTTAGTTGAATTTTTACTTAGTTGTGGCCCAGTCATGAAACTGTTCTGCTTTTTGTCCGTTTTTTCTCTCTCTTTTGGCTTGATTCAGAGCCTTGTGGGTTAGTTTTTGCATGCCATTGAAGCATTAATTGTTCCCTAATTTATTTATAGTTATTAATATATCTCTCTTGTAGATTTACAGTTTCCACCTGTGGATAGGTGCAAGGCCAAGTGTCAGCCCGAAAGATGTGAACTTATCTACCAATCACCTGGGGACTGCACAGAAGGATTTTGCTGTCGCTATAAGCCTGAAAACTAATAAATATCAATATTTGTTAGGGTTTCTAGCTTATTGTTCCCACTTGAATATACACCAGAAATTTGTTATGAATCATTTCATTAAAGATTTCTAAATTCTATAATATTTTGATTTAAATATCACTTGTCGTTCCACTCTATCAATCGGTCATCCTTCATGGCACTTAATCTAGCATAAAGAATCGCTGGGGAAATAGCTTTCTGCAGCCCCCAAACTTTAACCTTCAGTGTTCCATTCTGGCCACATCATGAAGATACTTTGTTTGCTCTGTCTGCTGTTTGTCCATTTGGCAGAAATAAGTTGTAAAATAAAGTGTAGGACCCTTGCATAATCTCCCTCACACTGAAGTATCCTATCTATAAATATCCTTATCCTTTAGATGTTGTCCACTCGGAGCCAGAGTGCGAGGCTTTTTGTATGCACGAAGCCTGCTACGACTTGTTCAAGGTGAATGGCAGCTGTCCAGGGGAGCTGTACTGCTGCAAGATCCATTTGATAGGCAGATGATTTATTACATTAGAGTTTATATATTTCCATAAAAATGAATCCCCCAATTAGCTGATTACTACTCGTCGTTGCGTTATCAATGGGGGAAAGGGAAGGGTACACTAGAACCCGACGATAAGATTCATTCATTCATTTTATTTATTTAGGTTCCTCTATATCAACAGATGGGAGGGGGAAGAATGTCGTAAACAAAAACGTGAGCTGAGTATATGAAATGAATTTTATTGCATAAGGTTGCTTTTCTTTCTCTGTTGTTGCCGGCTCTCAAACTGCCACTTTTTACTCTCTTTTCTGCCACTTTGTTTGCTCTTTCTCTCTTTCCGCTCCACTCTCTGCGCATTATTCATAGCTGACGGACGCATTTTTGGTCGCTCCTCTCTGGCAGCCGGTTTCTGCGCGTGTTTCTTAGTGTTTCAAAAAACGGAATATTACACATAAATCACCTAATTACGACCACCTCAAGTAGCGGTAACTGTTTAAAATTATAAGACAAACTACGAGTGATTTACAACGGTTCTAAATCATCGAAAATATTCGCAATTGCCACAGCAGATAAGATAAGCAGATAAGAGAAAACAATTTCGCGCATTTGTGTATATTGCTTGTGCGTGTATTTTGTTTAGAAAAAGCTTACATTTGGCAAAGAAAAACGTGTGGGAATACGGTAAGGTATGGCACGAAATCACAAGAGAAAAAGCTCTCCTTTTTGTTTTGAGGTGGGGTCAAAGGAGTCATGGTGGCGGTGACTCAAAATATTCAAAAATATTCCACCAGACTAGAAACTATTTCACAACAAAGTTGTATTATCGATAATTATTTTCTCCAGAGTATTTGCATATTTATGCATTTATTCATATTTGTATATGTAAAATGTATATTTAATTAAATTGAAGCTTAACATTTTTTGTGCATGGCTTAACATTTTAAGTCGATTGTTAAGCGATAAATTTAATTCTCGACATGTAAACGTCAACAACTACGTGTCAAGTAGTTTAGAAGAGCTTTCTGCTTTTCCATTCAATAAATGGCGTGGCATAGGTGGCGCCAATCGAGGCGGCAAATCGAGGAGTACAGTTTGAGAAGCACCAACTGGCACTGGCGAATTAATAATTAAAAAATGTGCATTAAATCAATCAATACGATGCATAACTAAATATCAATTTTGAAATTCAGTCTATACAAATATATTAAAACGGCTGAAGGGGTTTAGTTTTCATTAGAAAAAGTTGCACAGCTGCATCAATGTTTACATTTATCCAACAATTACATGGCAGTTCTATGCTATGATGAGTAATAAATAATCAATAAATATCTAAAATAACTTCCGTTGTTAAATCAGGGAAGGGGCTGCCCTCCACCGCTATCGGCTTAAGGCTCTTCAAAAGCAAAGCGATAAGATTCGCTTCATTGAAAACAATTCCAAGAAACTAAAGGTTTGAAATTTCCCTGACAATTTTGATACTAATCCTCAGAAATAATAATTCTAAAGGTTGAGCCTACCAAAGTCATTCAATTCAATCTTTTTCTTCCCTAATATGGATCCTTGAAACCACTAAAAATTATGTTTCCTCAACATGTCTTGCAAAAATATCACCCAGACAAACCAAAAATTAGTTAGTAATTCTTTAAAGTTATATATTTAAAAAAATAGAGTCTCGGAGCAAAAAGATTTCAGACTTGTTCCCGCCCGGGTTCGAACCGGGGACCTTGTGCGTGTGAAGCACACGTGATAACCGCTACACTACGGAAACAACTGAAATTCCATCGATGCAATGCTGTGCATAGGCCCCGCCCTACCCCCTACCTTTTCCGCAATTACTTGCTGAAATCCGTTTGAAATCCATTTCTTCGACTTGTCATTCCACTCTTAATTAGCCGTACCCCCGCCGCCCCCCTAATACCATTGTAGCCATTCAATGGGCGACCGAGACCCACAGGCAGACAATTGGCTGGGCAGAGCCCCAAGGCGACGTTGGAGGGTAGAGTGGAGTGGAGTGGAGTGGAGTCGAAGAGAATGGAAAGGCATTCAAGGCATGCCCTGAAACACGCTGACCAGATTATCAGACGAGAGCCAGTGCCAGAGATGGGATGGAGGTTGGAGATGGGTACAAGTGGGTGGTTGCGTTTCCTTCACCTTTAAATAAATTCGAGCACGCTGATCCTTGATTAAAATTCCTATTGTCCGGGGCCCCAGAGAGACCTGCCAGCCAGCCAGCCAGCCAGCCAGCCAGCCAGCTCCTGATTTTCTACTTTCGTGTTCCCTTTTTTGTTCTGGAACGTAATTAATATGCAGGCCAGAGAACGGTCTCTAACTGCTCTCTGGCACTCGTTATAATTACGCATTTAAATTGGCACAAAGGTTTTAGCCAGAGAAGCAGAGGGGAAGACACACAGAGACTACGAGAGACTATCAGAGACTATCAGAGACTGTGGGATTATCCAAAGGCAGAAACACCATCATCTTGAAACTGTATGGCTGGAGGATGCTTCTGCTGGCTCTGTTTCTGCCTCTCGAGTGCTTCGCTCTTTCCATGGGATGTGTGTGTGTGTGTGTGTGTGTGTGTGTGTGTGTGGATTGTGGCCCCACATAAATTTGGGTCAATGGGAAAAACGTCAGAATTGAGTAATTACAACATAATTTTCAATTTTGCAGTTTACGTTGTAAATTAATTTGCGGTCGACATTCCCTCCACCACCGCTGGCTCTGCCTCTGACACTGGCTCTGGCGATTTGCTTAGGCTGAATCGTGACTGGGCTTCGGTGTGGGTTGGGGGTCGCACTCGTGCTCAGACTCGGTCTTTCGTTGCGAAATTGATGGGGTTCCGTGGTGGGGTGTGGGTGGTGGTCTGTGGGGGATTGCACAACAATTATAACAACAATTACGGCGACGGACATGGGACATGGCATTTGTGTGTGTGTATTGTGTTGTGTGCTGTATGCTGCTTCACGGTTGGGGGTTCCTCTCAATCGCACCGTTTGTTGTGCATAATTAATTTGCAGTTATTCTACTGGATCGCGTGTTATTACCCTAAATCGTTCCCCCAACAGAGAGGGATATACATAAAGAGAGAACGGGAGAGTGGGAGACATTCCGACATAGGGTGAAAGGTTAGCTCTATTCAGTAGGTTAATTGGTGGATATGGTTTCAAGTGGTAAACGAAATCTATTTCTAGTTTTAAATAATTATATATGTATGCATAGTTAGTAAATTGATTTCCCTATTTTTGTTTATTGTTTTGGTTTTAGAATCGCCTAAATGTTGCCTGTTTTTAAGCGATTTATTTGTTGCCACAAAAGGTTCCTCACTGACCTTTGCCACCCCATTAAGGAACTCCAATCCCAGTGCTCCCAATAAAACATTTTCACAGGGTATCCAAATGTTTGCTGGATGCCAAAAAAACTGTTGACAATTTCACAGTTGAATGGATTTTAATTGAAAGAACTAAAAGACAAGCTAGTGTCAATGACACTGGCGGTACACAGCGAGGGTGGAGAGTAGGGTCATCCACCAAGGGGGCAGTGGCAGGGGGCAGGGGGCAGGGGGCAGCAAGCAGTTTCCAACAGCTGTGACAAGATTCCGGAATCATGTGGGTTGCTGCTTGCTTACTTATGCAAGGGAATGAAGGCCTGAGGGAGAGGGGCTGGATTGGATTGCGGCCGATGGTGGCGTTGCAATAAAAAATTGACCCGAAAATGTGTAACAAATGTTGTGACATATTTTCGCAACGTTTGCTCTCCCCCCGACCGCTCATTGTACTCTGCCAAACAACAATTTCGAACCCGCTGCCAATGATCCTGAAAAGCGCCAAGCGCAAAAGAGTCTGAAAGGATGCTCAGAATGGGTTTTCCAAAAAGGAGTTTTCCGGGGGAAAACATCGACTGGGATTGGGGTTTCGGGCAACATTTGTTTTCGGCTACATATAACAAGAGGAAAATGTGCAAAAATGAATATGAAAAGCGACAACAGAGTGGGCGGGGAGGGTGTGTGAGGGTGTGGAAAATCTGTAGCTGTAACTGTAACTGCAACATGGCATGAACTTAATCTGCTGCCGATTGTTTTTCCTACGCTTTTCTCTCTAT